GGCCGGGCCGCCACCAGGGCCATTAGACCACCCTTTCCCCGTGATAGTTGACTTACGACGCCGTCGCACCGCACCGGTTATACGGACGGGGATCGAGTAACTTACCTTATACCCGGTTATGTACTCACCTTCCCTCGTGCTCTCCCGACCAGACACGAGCGCCAAGAAAGAGTGGAAATTGCGTGGAAGAAAGAGGGGACGCGTACCGTTCGATCCGCCGATAAATTCCAGATCCCGTCTCGAGCTTCGCGTGGATTCCGTCCAGACGCTTTAATTCTGACTCGCGCGGGAAACGTGCTCGTTATCGCGCATCGGGAAAATAAAAAGTCTCTCGAATCGACGAGAAACGCTTTTCGTGCCCGCATAATCTTTTCTATTCCCTTCCCTTTGAGCATCGAACCTTAAACGAAGCTTTGCCAGGAAGAAAGTTTGGAGAAATCGCAGCTATCGAAACGCGTCGAGATCGATCGACGCGGCGATCGTTCGTTCGTAAACGTATTCCCTTTATGTTTGTATTCTGACCGAATGGAGCGCGCTAAACGTTGGAAAAGCATCGTAACCCAGACCATTACCACGCTCGCCCCTTCCGTTTTCCGTTCCGCCTCGATCAACCCGCGGCGCTCTCTTGCAAATATTTTCCGATAATTATAATTAACCTTTTTACGTGGTCGATACGCGCTGCCGCGGTAAAGTATAATTATCAGTGCAATTAAAAGGTTGGCAAATATCGTGCCGAAACTCCTGCCTTTCTTCTCGGCTGAGAAGGAGGGACGACGAATCTCTGGATAAACATATTTTCGAATCGAACGGTGCTCGATCGTCTTTCGAAGTCGTCGGCTATCCGTTTTGATACGTTCGCTGCAGGAGAAGATCCGAACGGAGCCTTCGGGGGAAACGACCGACGCGACGCGCGGCATAGCGGCTACGAATAAAGTAACAACCCCTGCGCGTACCGTGTTTGCGAACGTTTCTCCCCGCCAATATTAAATACAAGAATAGATATTTCAATATTGGAGGGTAAACAGAGGTAAATAGTTCCGACGTTTCCGACGCGTTGCTCCTACCTCGCGTCGATGCCTAGAATCGAGGAGGAACAAGATATTCGAAACGCTCCGCGTTGTACGAAACCGATTCGCGGATAACCGTTTCTTGCTCGTCCAGCAACGTTGGAAATGGAAGCCATTGTCTCGTTTCGAAACCGTTTTTGTTTGTCGAAACAAGGCGAGTACGAACCGGAAATTCGTCCGCAAATATTCGTCGAGCGGGATTTTTCGAGGAAAAGTTTACCCACGAACCTGTACAGAAACCATGTCAGGTATCGAACCAGATCCAACGAACGCGTAATCGTTGGTTAGAGGGAGGCTGGGTCGTGGGAAAGCTTTCGCCGAAGCGTCTGCGACGCAGCAAAATTCAAAGGAGAGCGGGCAAATCCCGTGGAACGGTACAACGAAATATTCGCGGAACGAATACGCGATAGATTCTCATCTTTATTCAATTTCCCCGTTCTTTACACGATGAAAGCCCTTTCGTGCGCGGCGACGTTATCGCGACGTAAACCCGGATAGATCGCGTACGCCACTCGAACGTCATCGAGCTCGGCGTCACCGGGCGAACGAATGGTGGCCCGCTTATTCGTGCATACGAGCGTTTCTTTTCTGGCGTGCCGCGAAGCCGGGTTCAAATTTACGAATCGCGCGTGGCGAACGATCGAAGAAATCGCTCCGAAGCGTAGGATGAGCAACGATTTCCGGGCTACCCTCCTCGCCGGCGATCAAAGTTTTCCGCGACGGCGCTAACAACCCGTGCACGTGACTGGATGGGATAACAATACGAGCACGCGTTCCTTCCTGGTCAGCTTACTGGAAATTGTAGATGAGGCTCGATTATGTATTCCGATCGTTCGCGATATCAAACTGCCTGGCTTCTCGCTGGTGATGGAGTGTTTTCTGCCCCCGATCCTCCCCTGCCGGCCGACGTCGCCAACCCCGTTTGCTCTCTTTCTCCGTCAGCCCTCGTTGCTCTCGTCGCGAAAGTCACGTTCGCAACGAAACCCTATAAATCCATACGAGAGTGCTCTGGACTCGTAGGAAAACGTTTAAGCCGGAGCCGGGGGAAAAAGTTGTCGGCGATTCGATCGGTTTTGCACCGAGAGAGAGAAAGAGAGTAGCCTAAGAAATTACGCTTCAGACGTCTCCGATAGACGAACGAGTGGCCATTAATTATCTCGGTTAATTATCATCGATGAAACGTCATCGCCGAAAGGATAGAAAACAAACCCGTTGATCCGTTCTGTTTACTTTGCGAGCGGAACTCGGTAACGATAGAAAGCCGAGTCGAAAGGGATGAGAAAGCGTAGCGGGGTAACGAGAGGAGGCGGAACGAACGGAGGCGGACGTCCAAAGGGGCTGAATTATACCGAAGGAGCGACGTCTACGAAGATAATCACACGCCTCGTAACAGCCAGTTCATCATCGTGGTATCGCGGCAAGGGGCTTGATGCATCGTGGAAATCGTGCACGAACCGGCCAGACCGAACTGAAAGCGGAACAGACGATGGGAGCTCCTTTGTAAAGGAGACTTTCAAACGGATTCTCCTCCTCTTTCCATTGAATCTTCTCCGCTCCGAGGCTTCCTCGGTTTGCTACCGACTCAATTAGCGCCTCGGAAAAATCGTATCGTGCCACGGAGTCCTACCCCCGAAATAACGCGTTTCTTTCTTTTGTTACAGGAGCGTTGCAGATCACCGGATCCGACGTGCACGATCAAGGAAAGTACGAGTGCGTGGCGAACAATTCCGTAGGAACAGAGTACTCGAAATCGGCTATGCTATACGTGAAAGGTGAGTCGATCGTCGGTAGACCACCGTCCCGACGTTAAAGTCCGGAAAATCCGTTTGAACCCATCCGCTGGAAAAACTTTGCGCGACTCGGGACCGTGGCCCCGTAAACTCGGTCGTTTTCCTGTTTTCTAATTAAAAGTAATGCCACGTAATTAAAGCGTAATTAAACCGAGCTGACGGCACAAAGGATTCGCGCGCTTGGAATCGCGTCGCGAATATTATGCCGAGACAGTGCCGTTCCTCGCGGTGTTCTCTTCGCCGACGAAATTCGAGCGTCACGGGGCGACCTACAATCGCGAACAAACATTTTCGTTTTCGAAGTACGTAACTGACGAGACGTTCCTTTCCCATAGTTCGTCGTGTCCCGCCGAGTTTCTCTATACGCCCGCCCGCGTTGAACGAGGTGACGCTGGGAGCGTCTTTGAGCTTGAACTGCGTGGCCGTCGGTTCACCGATGCCGTTCGTCAAATGGAGAAAAGACCCGGCCACCGACCTGACGCCCGACGACAAACTGCCCGTCGGTAAAAACGTGCTGGTGCTGTCGGACATTCAGGAATCAGCCAACTACACGTGCACGGCCGCCAGCAACCTCGGAGTGATAGAGGCCACGTCGGTGGTGAAAGTTCAATGTTCGTATCGAGATAGGAGATACGAGATCGCATTAGCGGGTTATCGCGTACCGCGTAACGCGAAACGATCGATCACCGGTCAGCTCGTGTTCCGAGGACGCGATGGTACGCGAAACACGACTGTTTCCATGTAACGACATACTTAGTTTCCACGAGTAAACGGGAACAGCGCTTTCGCGTACGGATCGACGTCTCTCGTCTTTCGATTATTCGGTGATTTTTTCTTCGTATTCTGTTTAAGACCGACTAATGATAAATTTCAGCTCTGCCGAGTGCTCCGGAGAACGTTCAGGTGTCCGATATCACCGCCACTTCGGTGAAGCTCACGTGGTCTTACAAGGGTGCAGACGAGCTGCAGTATTACGTGATTCAACACAAACCGAAACACGTGGAACAAGCGTACGCCGAAATATCGGGCATCACCACGATGTACTACCACGTCCGGAGTCTCAGCCCGTACACGGAGTACGAGTTCTACGTGATAGCCGTGAACGCCATTGGGCGTGGTCCCCCGAGTGCCCCGGTGACCGTCACCACTGGCGAGACGAGTCAGTATTCATTTTCCTAGCCGTCATCTTCTTGTCCGTACGAACGTTTATGCCTCGCTAAAATTCCCGCGCGTCTCGTCGACGCAACCGTAACAACGACCGGCAATCTCGAGAGCTCGGTTGTCCCGTCGAGACGCGCGCGAAATTCATCGCCACGATCATCCGTTCCGTTCGATTCGATTCGGACGTCCGTCTCACTTTTTTGCGACGGCGCGCCTTTTAGAACGAGTCGCTGTCGATCATATGCGTTTTGCCGAAATTTTCACGCGTACGGAACACGAACCTGATTAGTCTGGCGAGCGCGATTACCAATTTTTTGCACGTAGATAATCTTTTTTACACCACGAAGGAGAAAGAAATTTTGACACGGTTTTTGAGGGAAATTGTACTTTTTTTCCATGCTGTCCGCCGTGGACGCACGATTTGATTCATGTAAGTGACAAGACATTTTTTTCACCCATCACCAATCCCCCTTTCTGTGTGTCGCACCATGCGTTGACGTTTTTGTCGGACCGTGTTCGTCGCGTCGCGCTTCGACGTCTCGTTTCGCTCTGCATTTTTACCCGTGCCTTTTCCTGACCCTCTTCCGTTCCTTCTCTATCCGGCCCCCTTTCTCTTCCTCCACACGTCTCTCCGTCTCTCTTTTTCGACGAGAGAAAACTCGGTACGCGGAGAGACAGCACGCGAAATTGCACCTTTCCTCGATAAAGTAGCGCACTCTTCGCACCTCGTGAAAATACGAAGTAGCCGTAAACCGCTCGGCGCCGCTCGTATTTTCACTGTGCATTGTACGTTCATTATATCGGTAACGCGAAACGATCGATCACCGGTCAGCTCGTGTTCCGAGGACGCGATGGTACGCGAAACACGACTGTTTCCATGTAACGACATACTTAGTTTCCACGAGTAAACGGGAACAGCGCTTTCGCGTACGGATCGACGTCTCTCGTCTTTCGATTATTCGGTGATTTTTTCTTCGTATTCTGTTTAAGACCGACTAATGATAAATTTCAGCTCTGCCGAGTGCTCCGGAGAACGTTCAGGTGTCCGATATCACCGCCACTTCGGTGAAGCTCACGTGGTCTTACAAGGGTGCAGACGAGCTGCAGTATTACGTGATTCAACACAAACCGAAACACGTGGAACAAGCGTACGCCGAAATATCGGGCATCACCACGATGTACTACCACGTCCGGAGTCTCAGCCCGTACACGGAGTACGAGTTCTACGTGATAGCCGTGAACGCCATTGGGCGTGGTCCCCCGAGTGCCCCGGTGACCGTCACCACTGGCGAGACGAGTCAGTATTCATTTTCCTAGCCGTCATCTTCTTGTCCGTACGAACGTTTATGCCTCGCTAAAATTCCCGCGCGTCTCGTCGACGCAACCGTAACAACGACCGGCAATCTCGAGAGCTCGGTTGTCCCGTCGAGACGCGCGCGAAATTCATCGCCACGATCATCCGTTCCGTTCGATTCGATTCGGACGTCCGTCTCACTTTTTTGCGACGGCGCGCCTTTTAGAACGAGTCGCTGTCGATCATATGCGTTTTGCCGAAATTTTCACGCGTACGGAACACGAACCTGATTAGTCTGGCGAGCGCGATTACCAATTTTTTGCACGTAGATAATCTTTTTTACACCACGAAGGAGAAAGAAATTTTGACACGGTTTTTGAGGGAAATTGTACTTTTTTTCCATGCTGTCCGCCGTGGACGCACGATTTGATTCATGTAAGTGACAAGACATTTTTTTCACCCATCACCAATCCCCCTTTCTGTGTGTCGCACCATGCGTTGACGTTTTTGTCGGACCGTGTTCGTCGCGTCGCGCTTCGACGTCTCGTTTCGCTCTGCATTTTTACCCGTGCCTTTTCCTGACCCTCTTCCGTTCCTTCTCTATCCGGCCCCCTTTCTCTTCCTCCACACGTCTCTCCGTCTCTCTTTTTCGACGAGAGAAAACTCGGTACGCGGAGAGACAGCACGCGAAATTGCACCTTTCCTCGATAAAGTAGCGCACTCTTCGCACCTCGTGAAAATACGAAGTAGCCGTAAACCGCTCGGCGCCGCTCGTATTTTCACTGTGCATTGTACGTTCATTATATCGCTTAATCGATAATGATCATTGAAAATAATCGTTCATCCTTTTTTTTTTCTAATAGCGGAATCGACAAATGGAGGTGCCAGTAAGTTCAATCATTATACTACAAAAGAGTGCCGTAGCAGCGTTACTCGTCTTTCTCTTCTTTTTTTCTTCGAACCCTGTTTGGTTGTTTGTTCGATCGTTTTGTTTCCTTGGTGCTGTTGTTTTCTTTTCCTTTTCCTGTCTTTGGTTTCTTTACTTATCGTTCTCTCCTTTATTTCCGTTGTTCCTCTGTTAATTCTTTCGGCGTTGGTCACGCAGCGCACGCACGCATTCGTCGTTGGTCGCACGCGCACTGCATCGACGCGTTCGCGACAAGTACAATTTGTAGCTAATCGATCACGACCCGATACACCTTTCATTTTCCGTTTCTTTGTGTTTGTCTTTTTAGTCCGTTACACCGTAGTCACAATTCCACGGACCATCCACGGTAGAGAACGATACGATTATTCGTACCTTCCGGTTTCCTTTTATATTTATTTTTTTTCTCGACCTGGAGCTCGCGTGTTGGGTTGTTGCGGTGTTTTCCCGGGGTTCGCTCGTACTATTCTGTCCAGTGACTAACTAGAACGGTTCGTCCGTGCAGCGGCGCGTTTCGAAGAATATCCAAAGTAATTTCTCCGTTGTAGAACCTGGTACTGCACCACGGAAGGTCCAAGCCCGACCACTGAGTTCCAGCACGATGGTTATACAGTGGGACGAGCCAGAAACTCCCAACGGACAAGTGACGGTCAGTAGAAGGCGAATTTCTCGAATCGCGTATTTCCGTTCGCTTCGTTTCCTTCGGACGATATAACGGCGTCGGTTACAGGGCTACAAAGTGTATTACACGATCGACCCCAGTCAACAAATGGCATCTTGGCAGTACCAGATGGTGGATAATAGTCAACTGACGACTATATCGGACCTGACGCCGCACACGATCTACACGATTCGAGTGCAGGCGTTGACGAGCGTCGGTCCCGGTCCGTTGAGCTTGCCGGTGCAGATAAAGACGCAACAAGGGGTACCGAGTCAACCGGAAATGTTGACCGCCGTTGATATCGGTGAGACCAAAGTAACGCTCCAATGGAGTAAACCCGCTCATAGCGCGGAGAACATCCTGAACTATGAGCTATACTGGAACGATACGTACGCACAGGTAAGAGACTCGCCGCGTTCGTCTGTCGAGGCTTCTGACCTTCGATCGATTGCAGGAGAAGCATCATCGCAAGATACCCGTCACGGAGAACTACACGCTGACCAACCTCTACCCGAACACCCTCTACTACGTGTGGCTGGCCGCGAAGAATCAACGGGGCGAAGGAGCAACGACCATACCGTATCCGGTTCGCACGAAACAGTACGGTAAGCAAAAGACCAAAGAACCAGACGAAAAAGTCGAAAAGAAGAGAGCGTGAGTTGCAGCGAGGACAGTGCCGTGGGAAGATTCGCGATCGTAGGATCAGCAGCCGAATCCGTTGGAAGGAATTCCAACGCGGAATCGCGTTGACGACCGCGAATCGTCCTGGCACAGCAGGTAGGAGACGTTGTGTAGCGCTAGACGCTCCCGCAAGTAGCGTAAGCTATCCTGATACGCGACACGCGTACCGTACATTTACCTTTTTCAAAGAGGGTCAAGATATTCGCATCGTGGATTCACTGAATCGAGCTATGCGAGAGTAGGGTGGGCGGACGGGCGGGCGGACGGGGAGGAAAGACGGAAGATAGAGAGTATCGTTGAACCGTGAAGTGTGGGAGAGTGAGAATGATTGCATGCGTTGCAAATAAGAAAGCCGTTTTTGGATGCCACTTTATATATATCTATATACATACATATATATATATATACGTACATATCATACATATAAATTGCACTAAGCACTGCATCGATATATGTGTGCATTTTGGGCACCTCTTTTCATTCTCGATAACGTATGGTTTACGTCCGTTCTTCAGTTTTTTCGTTGTCTCTGATTTCCTTGAGAGCTACGACGTTAACTCGGCGCTAGGCGCGCGAGTTAACCGGTCGTGCGTACAAAAATGTTTCTAATCACGTACTTTTTCGACTGTTCAAGGATCGACTTGTCAGTTTTTCCTTGAGTAATTTTCGCCTCTTCGAACCCCAGATCCATCGAACGACCACTGATAATTTTTTTTAGTTCCTCTCGTCGGTCGGCCACGAACGCGGTCCGATTTCGAAATCCGTCGGAAGATCGCCGACGATTTCGACCGCTAACGATACGGCACGCGGCGCGCTTCGACGAGATCGAAGTTTTTATCGCGATCGTTCGACGACCGACGAGATTTCCCAAAACCACGTTTTCGTTTTTCTTTTTCCCCCTCCTATAACTGAGTGTTATACAGTACCCGGGGCTCCGCCTCGCAATGTAAGCGGACAAGCGATCAGCCCGACCTCCATATTGGTAACGTGGGAACCTCCGCCTGCCGATCGATCGAACGGAAGGATCGCGTACTACAAGCTGCAAGTCGTCGAGAGCGGACGCTCCGACTCGGAGGCGAAGATTATCAAACTGAATGACACGCGTTTCGTATTGGACGAACTGAAAAAATGGACCGAGTATCGAATCTGGGTATCGGCCGGGACCAGCGTAGGTGACGGACCTCCGAGTTATCCTATCTCGGTCAGAACTCACGAAGACGGTATGTATCACTAACGTTCGCTTAACCGTACTCTTACGTTTACTTCGAGTTGTCGAAGAATGCCGCTCCAAGTACCGTGCGATACCTTCTCGACGATTCTTCCTTCTCCATGCGTTTAATCTTCGTGCGTCGTATTTAAGTAAAATCAAAATCGAAAGGAAGATAAGCTCGGAAGTTGGAGCGCCACGCTTCGCGTCCAAACATACTCTTGCGAAGACGATGTATCGCGACAGAGTTGGTCACGCAAGAGCCAAAAATATAAAAGCCCGCCAAAAATCAGTCCAAAGATGTTCGCGCGATTCCAGTGCGGGTTGCGATGACACGCCCTTCGTTGTCTCGAGCCGGTGACGTTCGGTCTGTTCTTCGATCATCTACACACGTACGTGCATTAAATGTATTTTCGATTTCAGATTCCGCTAACGTCTCTCTACGAACCTGTCTCTTTCCATCCGTGACACTTACACTCGGCATCCATCTTTCTAGACGATATTCCGTTTCGCTCTTTTCCATCCAAGCCCCCGTTTCGTTATCTTTTCGTCGACAGTCTTTTCCTTTCGTTCTTTTTATCTTCTTTCTTTTTTCAGTTCTCGTTACGTTACATTATCGTTGCATCATTATCGTATTTCCATTCGATTCCATTACGATTGTATTATATTACATTGTATAAATATTGTACAGCGCAAAAAGCTTTTCCCGCTCTGCGAACCACTTTTGCGTTTCTCTGCGACGCTTTCGAGAAACGAACTATCGAGTGTCATCGTTGTCTACGACCAACGCGATTCGTTTTTTTACATTTTTTACATTTTTTTGATTATTGCCAATTTTCCACGGCCGAATTTTTCTTGCGCGAACATAAGTTTTGAACGCGCTCAACCGAGTTTTTCCTGTTTTTTTTTTTTTTTCAAGCTGGTCCACCGTTCTCCTTTGTAACGCTTTACTGGAACACCCCCCGATCATCCCATTTTTTTCGGACGGGACGCGGCAGCTACGCGACGAAATGCAAAATAATGTTGGCCGTACTTTTTTTGGCTGGCGAGATTTTATATTTTTGGAATTTTTGCGACAACGATTCTCCGTGAGTTACTACGACGTAACTCCGCACACCCCCTTCAAGGCCCTGAAAATTCTCCCCCGATCTACCCCATTCGTTGGAGCGGCCCAAACATTTTTTCCAGATGGTGCACGCAGCCACGGATTTTTCAGAAGCTGATAACCGATTTTTGAACTCAGCTATACGTGACGAATAAAAAAGAATTAATGCAAAAAAAATTACAGTAAAACGAGAAACGTATTTTCTTACCGTTTTTACAGGGCCTAATCGCAACTCACCCTTTGTTCGTTGCCGTTGGTTTTTTTATTCCCAGCCCCACTTTTGAAAAAAACTTGGCTACTCATTTTAACACGTTAACTAATACTTAATTATACTCATTCACGTGTTTTTGTCTTTCCTTAAAGCATTTGCAGGAGGATGATCCAGGTTTTGAACAGCTAGTTTTTAAGATCTACTCGCACTAACGTAATACATCGGCTGTCTAATGATATGTACTCATTACACTCAATGTTCTTTCTGATGATTACCGTGGTCACGTCAGTAAAGATGTTTCGTTTCTCTCTTTAGTTCGTTGACTCATTATTGCCACGTGTTACGAAAAATAGAGAGGCCAAGCTGACCGTCTTGAACGCGTTCACGACATTATTTTCATCGTTTCGGAAAATTGGGAAACGTTAACGAACAATTACGCACGGGGTCGAGCGAGTTTATCCGTTCGATAAAAATAACGTCCGTGAACGAGAACGGCAGCTTGCCGATGAAACGCTTACGTATATATATAAAAAAAAAAGAAAACAAGCGTATGTATCACACACACACGTACACGAAAATACACCATACAAAATCTCTCTCTCTCTCTCTATCTCTATCTCTATCTATCTATCTCTCTCTCTATACATATATATATGTATATTTAATATAATGCACCATTTTCGCTATATACATATATATTTCAGATGCAATATATATGTGTATATACATATATATATATTTCTATATCTCTGATATATAAGGCTCTTCTGTCTTTAGTTAAGATTTAGTTCTACCTATTGTTTGCACATGTTTAGAGCATGCCTTCGTTTGTTTAACGATTCCTCGATTTCACCAGAAATTCCGTCCCACGAGTTATTCCGACCCGAATACAATCCCGACAACTTCACGAACGATCCATCCTTCGCATCCACGTCGAAACGTTCTATCCGCAACCCTGAAAAAGATACCGTCGAGCTACGTCGAGTCTGCCCATTACCCACGATCGCAATCAACTATCCTATGAATGGCATGCCGATGCATGAAGAGATTTTGCTTTTGGTTTCGAATCTGTCCCGTCCGTTTCCCGTTTGGTACCGCACGCTCGGTACCTCACCCTTCCCAGCATGGTAAACACGTTTTTTGGCCCTCTCGTCCCCAATTATCAACCCCCATTTCGCCCTAGAGGGAGATCTCTACGATCGGTATCTCTCCGTCGTCGATGTAGGACGCGTCGTACGGCAGAATCGAATCGAAAGAAAAAGGAGAACAAACACGTAGCTGAATCGTAGTCTACGACGTCTCTTTTGTCTTGGGAAATAATCAAAGACCTTGGTTGGACGCGAAATCGGAATCATTTGTTGCGAGAAGTATTGTGGAAGCGTCGTTGTCGCAGGAAAAGTCGTACGAACGCGTCTCTAACGACGTTCCCTCGAACCTTTTGCACTCGGTATCCACGGAACGGCCAGGATCCTCTTTCGTTTCACCGAAGCCCCCAACTCCTAGTTCCTCCCACGCATTGTCCCGTTTACGAACCGACCGATCCAGAGCCGTCCGTCCACCCCCTAAGAGCAGACTCGGCAAAGCGAAGCGGAACGATAAAAAGCACTGCTGAAAGCACCCTGCCGTGTAAGCTCGCACATTGTCAAGCACAAAAGTTCACCGCCGTATATACGTATTATACGTCCACCACGTTCGTTATTGTCATTGTCGCCGCTGGAGTACCACTATATATCATGTACTATAATTAGACTTCGAACCTATCATCGATACCTAGTGTTCGCATCGTTGTTAATGTGTGCACGGGCACAAAAGTAAGATTTTTCATATACGGTCACCGTGTTTTGATCTCGCACCCATCACGCACGCATGTCGAGTCGGGGGCGCGCGCTCACGAGACGGTGGCGAAGATCGATCGAGAAGTAAGATAACCGAGCGACGACAACGTAAAAGGCGACTTTTACGTAACCGCGCTCCCGTGTCGCGCGTGTGCTCCCGACTGAACGCGCACCCGATTCAACGAGTCGTTCGTTCGTTCATTCGTTCGCATTTAACAGCACCGTAATATATTTCGCACCGTAATTTGTACATTCACCCGTCTAAAATATCAATCGCCATAGTCGACGCGATATATCGTGCCGAGCACCAGCACTGAGAGCACCCTTCTGAAGCAAAAGCACCCGCACCCCCACTATCGATTGTCGTGCAGTCTTTGAACCTCGCGTCTTCTCGAGACGATCGCGAATCCCGACGCCTCGTCGTTCGTTTAAACGGCACCGTTCGAGATGATCCGCGCGTCGGTTTCGCGATC